TTCAGGGGGAGGGAGGAGGAAAATGAGCTGACACCAAGGGCTCAAGTGGAAAGTGGGTGTTGTGAGAATGATGAAGTCAACATATGTACTAATGTGCTGGACACAAATGATGTATGCATGGATTGTGATGAGTTATATGAGCCGCTAATAAAATGATTAATAAAAAAACAAACTGTAGATTCTTTTTTTAGTGACATTAGAATCTACTTTCCTCATTATTCTTTTAGATGCTCAAATTGAACCAAACCGGGGGTCAGTCAGAGCCCCTTCAAGCCATTTCCTATTGGTGGTTTGCAATGATCCTATAAATTCCCAACTCACTGCCATCAGTCAATTCCAACTCAGTGATTCTGGGTCATAACGCCTCCCCCGACCCCCTTTGGGAGACTAGAAATTTTACAGGAGCACAAACGGCATCATCTTTCTCCCGAGGGACCAACGACTTGGTTGGTAAGCAGTTCGGTGACCACCTTTGTAAGGTTTTGCTTGTAGGTACAGAGGTTCTAGGCTTTCCTTGTTCTTACTGTCACTGCCGGGCCCTGGCATCAACCATTGCTCTTGGGAAGCCTTCTTCCTAAGTAGGTAACAGTATGAAGTATCCCAGATCCAAGAAGGAGGTCTGTTTCTGGACACTTGCATTACCAAGTTACCAATAGCTGAGGGGCTCTGCCTTTTCAAACATCTCTATTATAAGGGAAGATATTTTTGCTTGTTTGCTTTTTAAATTTTTAATCATTTTATTGGGAGCTCTTACAGATACACTATTCCATAGTTCAATCACATCAAGCAGTATTGTACAATTGCTACCACAATCAAACATTTTCTTTCTTCTTGAACTCCTTGATATCGGCTCCCCTTTATGCGCCAGGGGGTTTGCTAAGTATTTGTAGGCATTCTCTTTAAGTTTAAAGTTTTTTTATTTATCATTTTATTAGGGGCTCATACAACTCTTATCACAATCCACACATACATCAATTGTGTAAAGCACACTTATACATTCATTCTCAAAACTCTCGCTTTCCACTTGGGCTCCTGGAATCAGCTCCTCATTTTTCTCCTCCACCCCTTATATGGAAAGATTTTTAATCTTAAATGGAATAAATTTACTTGCTTATATGAATTGGGCTGCAAACAGTCAGGTCAGCAGTGGAAACCGCCAGCCCTGCTGCAGGAGGATGAGGCTCCTGCTCCGACGAAGACTGACAGTCTCAGGAAGCCACAAGGCCAGTGCCATGCTGTCCCGGAGGGTCACTGTGAGTCCAAATGCACCCAATGGCAGTGAATTTGTAGATGCTCCAACATACATACAATCGATTTCTATCAACAATAAGCTAAGTAAACTTCAAGTGTCCTTATCATTCTTGCTTTTTTGTATAGTCGAACTTTCTAGCCTACTCAAGTGTGAAGTGAGAGTGCGGTATTCAAGTTATTTGGAAACAGGCACTTAAGTTATGTGTACAAAAGGTCCAGTCTCATATGATTCCATTTATATGAAAAGCCCAGCATAGAGAAATTCAGAGACAGTAAACCAAGGGGGCTGCAAGCAGGCGGGCAGGCAGGGAGGTGGAACTGAGAGTAACTGCTCAGCAGGTTCCTTCTTGGCCAGAATGTTTGGGGTGAGATTGAGGCAGTCGTCATACAATGCAATCACAATAAATGCCACTCACGGAATGTTCACTATAAAATGGTTGGTTTCTATGTTATATGAATGAATTTCACTCCTATAAAAAAGTTATTTCAATTAATTCTTTCCGCTGTATTCTGCTGCCAGTTTGTGAATAGTCTCCCTAAGTTGATTGAACTCTATTTTAAGTTGTGCATAAAACATTCTAATCATGGAAGGAGCACACCAGCACATGTGATCATGAGGTGTTGATGGGATCAGGTAACAGGTATCGGAAGACCCCAAACAAACAAAAAACATATTGTTAGAACGAGGGAGCTCGCAGCAGAGACCCCCAACTCATCTGTAGGCAATGGGACATCCCTCACAGAAAGGTCACAAGGAAGGGATGAGTCAACCAGGGTGGAGTATAGCACCGATGAAACACACAATCTTCCTCTGGTTTTTGAGACTTTCATGATCAACTCAAACACCACCACCACCACCTCACCCTCAGGGGGGGATCAACAACAGAAACCATGGGGGAAAGGAGACAGCCGTCGATGTAAGATATGAAAATAATAATAATTTATCAAGGGGTCACAAGGGTGGGAGGAGGCGAGGGAGGGGGGGAAAAGAGGAGCCGATACCCAGGGCTCACATAGAAAGTAAATGTTTAGAAAATAATGAAGACAGCATACTTACAAATGTGCTTGATACAATTGATGTATGGATTGTGATAAGAGCTCTAAGAGCCCCCAATAAAATGATCTTTTAATTTAAAACAAATACATTCCCTTTGTGAATGGGAATAAACAAAAACATTCTGATTGTTCAAAAACCGAACACTATATAAAAAGTTACAGTGAACACTTCTGCTCCCAGATCCAAGCTCCTACCGTGTTGCCCGTCCACCCACACGTGCATCTGTTTGCATTCGTGTCTCACCTATGTCCTCTTAGTAAATGCAAATACTGTGCCTGAGGCCCCTTGGGAACCTCACATGTCTCTGCCCAGACATGGCAGACAGAGGCCTAGCCCAGGGAACTTGTCTCCACAAAGCACTGTGATCCCTCTGAAGATGGCGGGGGAGGATGGCAGGTCAGGGACAAGCTGTCCTGAGCCATCTCCCAATGGGAGGTTCCCTCTGTCCCTAGGTCCCCTTGGAGGCTCCTCTAAGATGGGTTCTCATTACCTCCTGGGTTTTGAGGAGACTGTCTGCCCCCCACCTCTCATAACTACAGAATAGAACACCTCTTACTGCAGCCTTGAATTGGCCCCTCCCTCAGCCAGGGAATATTCCACAGCTCACCCCTACCCCCCACCCCAACCTTGTTTCCCTGTGGTCCTGGAAGCTGTGAAACAAGGACCCAGAGAGCAGTTCCTCATCTACGCTAGTGATGGTGCACACTGTCGTCACCAGCCAAGTCGGGCAGGTGTTGGCTTGTCTAGTGTGAAAGGACTAGATTAAAAAATATGCCAGAAAAAAAAAAAAATATATGCCAGAAATCACACCTCATCAGCTGTTAGTGGAGTTGCTCATTCGGTTCCTGGTCCACACTGCATTTGCATACAGGGGCAGACGTATGCAGAAGGACATCTAGGTTCTCTGGAGCAGCTTTCTCTTTAGGACTTTGAACATTGCTTCAAGGTTAGCATTCTAGAAATGTTAAGTCCTTTCATACCAAGAGGACTCAACTAATTTCTTTTCTTCTTAAATCCAGCACTTACCCATTTTCCTTGGTCCAGAACCTTCTGAGACAAGCAGGAGGCGGCCGCTGCCACCTTAGAAGGGTGATAGTGCACCATGTCATAGTCCATGAGAGTCAGCTCCATCAAGTACTTGGCTAAAGTGTGCTGCTCAACATCCACCTGCAGAGGAACAGCCAGGATCAACTGTGAGGGGTCACCGGGACCGGGTAACAGGCAGCACAAGATTCATCACAAACAACAAACAGGAACGCGTTGGTGAGAATGAATGAAGGGGTCGGAGAGGAGAACCAAAGCCCATTTGCAGACAATGGAACATCCCCCCACAGAGGGGTCTTGGGGAAGGGATGAGTCAGTCAGCGTGCAGTAGAGCACTGGTTCCTTGAGGCCTCCTCACCTCCCACTGTCATGACCCCAGTGCTGCTTCCCACCCTGGACTGGACCGGAACACGTACATAGTTATAGGCAAGAGATACAGCTCACGACACACGGAATCCAGGAACAGGAATGGGAACAGCGATACAAAAAGGATAGGGGAAGGGAGGAGAGGGAGGAAGGAGATACCAATCGCAGTGAATGGCACACAACCACACACACCCCTCCAGGGGAAGAACAACAGAAACCAGAGGGGAAGGGAAAGGAGGCAGAAGTCAGTGCGAGATAATCTATCAAGGGGCCATGAAGGTGGGGGTGGGGGAAGAGAAAAAAAGAGGAGCTGATCCCAAGGGCTCAATAGAAAGTAAATGTCTACACCGTTTAATGACTTTGGACCGCCTTTCATGGGCTATGTGCTGGCCATGAAGCCACCCGGCACTCAGGGCTCCCAGAGCACCTACACTGACCTGCTGGCAGTCATAGAGGAAATGGGCACCGAGAGCCGGCCCACCTATGCCGGAAGCAAGAGTGCTAAGGAGCGCCGGAAGAGAGGCATCATCCACGCCCGGGGCCCTGGTCAGAGAGTGCCTGGCCGAGACAGAGCGCAACCCCAGAATGTAAGGGAAGAGCCCTCGCCTCCTCGCCTGGACCTTGCCGGCCACCGCAGAGCACTGACCTCTCCCAGGCCTCCACCCCGAGTCGCACTTCCCACCCTGTGTCCCTGGGCGGGCACCCTTCAGGAAGCAGGGCCTAGCCCACTCCGGTCTGCAGCACTGGCCGAGGGCCCTCCAACTGTGAGCCGCCAGGTCACTGTGAATCCCCTCTTCCCAAGACCTGCCATCAGTGCTGATCCATGGGGAGCCTTCACCTTCCCGTGCCCCCTCCCCACTCAGCACCTAGCCAGCACCAAGACTACTTCCTTTCCAACCCCTTGTCCCCAGCAGGCCCCTGGAAGGCTGGTCACCTCCCTGCCTTGTCCCCTGGGCTACAGCAACTCTGTTCTCAGTGTGTATTTTGCTAAATACGACCTTTTTGTGTAAAATAAAGCTGATTTGGAGTTGTTAAAAAAAAAAAAGGAAAGAAAGTAAATGTCTAGAAAAGAAAGATGTCAACATATGTACAAATGTGTCTGATACAATTGATGTATGGGGCTGTGACAAGAGTTGTAATAGCTCCCAAATGATCTTAAAAAAAAAAAAAAGAACAGCCAGACCACAACTGTGATTATGACCTTGCAGAGTGGGGGTAGGGTGGGGTGGAGGCATTCAAACCCACTTCGTCTACTTCTCCCTCACAGGACACTGGACAGTGTCAGGTCATTCATTACCTAAGCGATGCCTGCGATGAGCTCATTCGCTTCCCTCGAATTAAGAGCACTGTTCCTGGGAGGAGACATCAAGCAGCACAATCACAGCTCCCATGGTGTTGCCAAAACTTACCTCTCCAGCTTTTGATGCCCTACGTAAGAAGTGTAGGGGCAAGGGGCGACCCAACTCAAATCTCAACTCTTTCAGAATGAGCGTCTCCATTTCTCGGATCTGGGAACTGCTGTACGCATTGTCTGTGATATACACGAAGTCTTCGATATTTGGAGAAAACATCTCCTCATACTTGGAAGCCAAAAGCAGAGCTGTAATCCCAACCAGTTGAAGCTTCTTGCGCGAGACGGGCTGCATCTAATTGAAGCAAAAGCTTTTCAGAAGTCCCGTCTGACAAGAGGGTCTGCCCCTTGGATGTAAATGTGGGGAGGGGGCCAAGTCCGGGAGAACCGCACAGCGGCTTTGCTCGTGCCCCTACCACCAACTGTTTTCCCTGAGTGCTGTGTGCCAGGCACAGCGCTGAGCCTCTAAACATGCTATCTCATGAAGTTCTCACCAAAAATCCTATTCCCATCGACACACAGATGGCCTAAGAAGAGATTCAGAAGCCACTGAAGCTCACACAAGTATTGAGTAGGGAAGACTGACTGTAGAGCCTCGTGGAGAAGCGGAGTTTTTCAGACATTTTTAATGCAGTTTTTGTGGTAAAATTAAGTGCCTCGGCTGCTATTCGGGTCGGCTTATACTCGAGTGTGTACGGTAAGTAGGAATCCAAGCCTAATGACCAAATTCCAAATCACTGCTCCTCCCTGATCATCCTGCCTTCAAAGTCTGTGGCAGCCCTGAATCGGTAGACAGACAAATCTACATCGAAATGAGGCTGAGTGAAAACACAGGAACCTAATGGATGCCTAGGGGCACCTGTCAGAGTAGTGGGTTACATGTTGATCTGCTAACTGCAAGGTCAATAGTTCAAAGGCACTTGCAGCTCCAAAGGAGAAAGATGAGACTTTTACTCCTGTTAACAATGGGAGAGTCTCGGAAACCCGCCAGGGCAGCAGTTCTACCCTGCCCACTAGGTCTTTGTGTGTGTCATCAGCTCCATGGCAGTGTGTTGGAATCAGGAGTTGGAGGCCCCTGGTGATGGACTGGTTGAACCACCAGCTGCCCAGAGGAAGAAAAGTTAGGCTGTCTGCTCCTGCAAATAGTCTCGAAAACTCCAGAGTTATACTCTCTGTCCGTTTGGGCTGCTAGGACTTAGAACTGATTTTATGGCAGCGAGGGGGCAAATTTCTTCAATCCTGATGGAAAGCACATTCCTCCAGCTTGAAGGATCTCTCCCAATGCTTCTGAGCGTAGGGATCTCAGTCAGGGAATAGGAAAGAGCTTCTCTCCAGGTTCTTTGTGTTTACCTGGCTTATCCTGGTCAGGGTCTGGATCTGGGTCGGACTGAGCAGCTGACAAATATTTTGAAGGTTCTACCTGCCTCCCACACCCTCTTTGTGCCTCAGTTTCGTTTCACCGCGCGCATACTTTCTCTTGTTTATGTTTACACTTCAGCATTACTTCGAGAGCTATTCGGCCCCAGAGCTGCTGGCTGCCATCTTTGAGGTCTTCTAGCCATTTCCTAGATGAGAAAACTGAACAGCAGACAGCTGTGCAAGGAGGCCTAGAAAAGCAGGGTCTGCAGGGCGGATACCATGTGTCTGGTGAAGGCCTGTGACAGACAGCACAGGCCCCCTGCCCCTGCCCACACAGAGCACTGGTTAGCAGGTTGACTTATAAAAGCACCCAGCAGCAGTCGGTTTAACAAAGATAAAGCTGGCCGAAACTGTGCTATATGTCCTTTAAGCACCTAAAGTCTTGGGCTTCTCTTCCAGTGGCTTTGTGTGTTTCCTTCCCAGGTAGCACACTCTAGCATTCTCCCCACAAAGCCTAAGTGCAGTGTTTGATGGGCCACTGGCATGATGTTTATGACGTTCCACTCTCGTAGGCAGGACGGTGTCTCCAAAGCATACCTGTGTTAACTAGGCTAGGCCATCATTCTCCGAGGCTTGGCTGTTGCGGAATGTGGCAGTTATATAATGGTGTCACTGTGCCCATGATGTGATGACCTCTGCTCTGATGTAGTGGGATTAGGTAGGATCAGGGGACAGGCCTGATTAGACAGAATGGGAGTTTTCCCTGGGGTGTGGCCTATATCACCGCTGAGAGCAAGGGATAGACTACCACCAAGAAAGAAGAGCTGGAAGCAGAGTAAATTTTTTGGATCTGGGGTCTCTGTGCTGGGTACCCACGAGAACCAAGAGACAGAGAGACTAAGTCTTCCCCTAGAGCAGGCACCAAGAAATTGGACACCTTGATTCCTAAACTGTGTGAGAATAGGTTTGTTAAAGCCATCTACTGTGGCCCTTCTGTTAGAGTAACCCTAGACAACGATCACCCCCCCGCCCCCCCCTTACCTGTAAAAAGCGGTCCATAATGGCGATGCACATGTACAGCGTTTCCTGCAGAAGCCTGAACTTAGAGTGGACTTGCACGAGCCAGTCCACCAGAATGGCACGCATGCGTCCATTGATATCACTTCCATCTAAGAAATGTGGGTTGATGGACTGCAGGACCTGTTGGAGGAGTGAAGAGTTTAAGGACCGGAGCTCATTCCCCTCCCAGCTTGGCTGTAAAGCCCACACTGCTGGCACTGCCAGAGCACGAGGCCTGCTTACCTCAAGCTGCCTGAGGTACTGATAGATGTCCTTAACGTAGGCACTGCACAGCTGGGGGTTCTCCCCGTCTGCGTGGTCTATGTCTTCCATTTTGCAAAGCAGTGCATCCGAGAAAGCTCGACACAGTTTCTCTTCCTTCATGGAGACCTCCTCAAGTGAGGGAGGCGGCCCCTGTGGCAACAAAGTAAAGCCCAGGCATGACCGCCACCTTAGGGGTCACCTTAGTGACCAACATGGATGGAGCCAGCTGGCTGAAAGGTCGGCATCACATGCTTTCTTGAAATACACTGAAGCTACAACAAACACACTTCAAAGTAAAAAGTAAAGGTAAATAAGGTAAATTGTAGAAAAGATTTTATAAGAACTATTCTGGCTTAACACCCTCTAATTTCACGCCCGGGGTGGTACACACAGTTAAACATTGACCGTCTAGCTGAAAGGTTCCATCGGACCCAGAGGCACCTCAGGAGGCTGGCCTGGCAACCCGCTTCCCAAAGGTCATACCTTGAAAACCCATGGAGCAGGTCTACTCTGCTCACGGGGTCCACCAAGAGTCAGAATCAACTCCAGGGCAACTAGCAATTTCACTGTTAATATAAACCTAAGTCCTCACAATGGCCAATAGGCCTTGCATGTGCTGGTCCCTACTCTACTTGCCTCCCATCCCCATGACCCCCCACTGTCTCCCTCTAAACCACTCTCCCCTTGGCTCCTCCACAGCAGCCTCGCTGCTCCCTGCAGGAAGGCTCTTGCTCTCAGATCCACATGGTTGAAGCCTCACACATTCACGTTGTGCTTAAATATTACCTTCCCGATGAGATCTGCCCTGACCGCCTACTTATACAACCTGTCCCATTTCACTCCACTCCCGTACACACAGGGCTAATCTCTCCTACTGTTGTTTTCCCCCATAGTGTGACCTTATAATATCCTACAGAACTGATAGTTTTTATTGTCTGTCAACTTCTGCTAGCACGCAAGCTCTTTAAAAAAACATTTATTTTCATTAGTTTGGTCCACTAAGATCTCTCAAATATCTATTACAATCCTTGGCACCCAGTAGGTGCTCAATAAATATTGAATGAAAAACGGAGGCATCTGAGTTCAGAAAGTATTGAAAGTGATCATTCTCTTTAGCAGTAGTCTCTTCTGCAAATGTAATGGTTGCTTCTCTCCAACTAATGAATTCTAAATCCAGAAGTTGGCAACCAGGAAGCAAGAAAGCATGTTCCAGTCTATGAATAAAATAGGAGGAGGAAGCCTAGACCAAGTAAATGCACAACCTAGTACTTTATCTTCTTATAGATTATTTATTATTAAAAAATCAAAAAGTTTTAAATCACGCAAATTAAATTTTCATATTTCAGTTGAAGACGTCTTTGGGATTGCAATATAAATAAAGCATTACTCTTACAATGAATAATGCGTCTCTCTCAAAGTGAAACACAACAATACTCCTAGGCTATAAGGAGTCTGTCTTCAGGTATTAAAAATCCATAATCAAAGAGAAAGTTCTATAATAAAACATACAACTTCAATCTCCTTGAAAGCTCCATGATTACAGCCTCCAGGGTTAGGAATGGTAAATCAAAACAAAACCAAAAAATGAAAACTATCAGTTCGAATCAATGGTTTTTAAATGAACAGCAGGCCAGGGGAGCAAAGGCATACAGGCCATTTACTGACGAGTGTCCGGATTTCAAGACGCTGTTATCAATGACAGGAGGTGCATGGTGCCCTGAAGAGAAACCTAAGGTTCCCAGAGAGGGAAAGGAGACCTGGAGGAAAACGAGCTGGCAAAAGGAAAGCCCATCCAAAACGCCAGGAGAAGCAACCAACTGCAGGCCATCGGAAGCTGACTGGACTTGGTGGAAGCATAGCATGTGGTGGGAGAAGGCGACTGGAAAAGTGGGCAACAGCTTCAGCAGGCTTGGGGTTCGTGCAAAGGCACAGGAATTTTGCACACATGAATGGAATCAGATGTGCCTTTTAATAAGCTGATGGGGTTTCCTTCGAAAGGGTTTCAAGGATAGACATTAGTGGACCCCCCAGGAAAGGAGGGCAGTACAGGACACCTAGTTTAAAGAAAAGCTTCTTGGCACATCTCTGGAAGTTACTACCTCTGGTTGTGAATCTTCATTAGTGTCCCGTTGAAAAGGGAGTCTAAGTTTAATCATATCCAAAAACCTCCAGGATGAGACAAGGAGACTTGGTGTAGAACTTAACTTGCAGTTTCTTGAAAGCAATTCTTTTTGGACTCTAACATAATTGAGTTGAAGACCCTCTTAGGTTCTACTGTTCAGATGGTTGCCGGAGCCCAACTGCATGGCCAGCTGCACAATTCTCTATCCCGAGTCTGCTGCATACCAGGGTACAGATGGCACCGGCTAACCAACTGCTAGAAACTTCAAAAATATATTTTTATTGAGGTGAAATATACATAATAAAACACTTCCCACCCCAACCATTTCTACACGTCCAATTCGCTGCCACAAACTTTTGAAGGACAAAAGTGATCGGCGAAGGAAAATCTTCAAACTAGAACAACAAATGAGCAGTGGAGGGGGTGTGGGAGACAAGTAAAAAGTCCGAGCCAAACAAACTCACCAGCTGTTCTCCTGAGGAGGACAGCCTGGGAAGCACTCTGCAGGGTCGGAATCACCCCACAGCAGTGGGTTACATGTGAGGAGCTGGGGAAGGTGGGTAAAGACTACTTCAGGTCTCCCCTGGGAGCACTGGACTGAGCCGGAGCCACTGAGAGGAAGAATCTGCACAGCACTAAATGTAGATGGATAGGTACCGACATAGGTTTTGATAAAACATTAGATTGATTGTGAGACTGTAAATCTTTAAGGGGACAGCCTCGTCTTTCTCCTAAGCAATAGTTTGAGCAGGCAACTTGGGGGTTAGGAGCCCAAAGTTTAAGCCACAGCTCCCCCTGGGCTCATTTGCTAAATTTGTGATAAGTTAACCACTGGGTGACAATTGAGGAAAGGAACGCAAAGGAAAACTGGATTGCAGGACAATCAGTTCCTTGTTGGTTCTAGGTACGTGTGCACCATGCACTGTCAGCGTTGTTAGCTGCCAAAAGGTTGCTTCAGACTCATCGTGCCATTATGTATATCCAGATCCTACAGTGCGTGCGGCAGACAAGAGACTGACAGAGACAGAGAGATAGCATACCAACACCCTAGAAAGGTACAGCCACCTCTATCACTACAATGACAACAACCAACTGCTATTGAGTTGGTTCTTGCTCATGGTGACCCTACGGGACAAAGTAGGGTCACAGAATTTCCAAGGTGATAAATCTTTCTGGGAGCAGACTGCCACTCTTTCTCCCTCTCAGTGACGTTGCAGCTAGCAGCCCAGGCTGTTATCCACGAGGCTGCTAGGATCCGTGTCATAAGATTAGCTGTAGAGAATGGAGTTTGGAAGGCAGTGAAAATAAAGTGACATTTTATTCTGTGTACTCTCCACTAGGGGAGTTCCTACACCAACTCTGTCTCTCTGTTTGCTTTTAATAATTATGCATTTCTTACTTAAGTTAGATAAAAAGCACTAACCAAAAAAAGGACAGTTGTTGCTTCTGTCCCTTTTACACAGATTTTGCATTTGGTAAAGTTAGGCCATAAAACATCCATTTCAATAATGACTATCATTGAATTTTAGGTTCAAATCAAGTCTGTGAACCTCAAAATCCATCTGAATTTCTAGCTCAGCTCTGTGATGGCATGTTTCAATGTTCACTCTTTGCGTCCCAACGACGCTGGGTGCTACTGAAGGCAGGATAGATGATTTGTTTACTTAACTGATTTTCCTAGAGCCCAACAAACAAGTGGTCACTGAATAGCCTTCCTTTCAAAACACTTATTCATGAGTCAGCAAAATCCGGCTGTTCCTGAAACTGTGCAGGAAGTAAGTGTCTGAGAAGAGCTGCCAAGGGCTAGCACTCCTTCAGGGTCTCAGGCAGGGCTCTGAGTCACTCCCCTTCAGTCTTTCTAAATAAAGCAAGCTGCCGTCTTGCAGTTTTGCAAAGACAGTGTGCCTGCAGTGAGAAGGCTGGGAACATCTGCCTCCATGATGTCAGCCCCAGGTTTAAGCTGCAGAGTGTCCCGCGGCTGGAAGCCGTCGAGCTGAGCTGGCGTTCCCACAGCTGCAGGGACTGGCTGCGCAGGAGCAGCGAGGACGCTGCAGATCGCTGCTGCTGGGTGCCCTGCAGTCCATTCTGACTCGTGGCACCCACGTGACAGGCCTTCTTTCATAGCTTATCTTCACAGAGGGCCTTTCTCCTACGGAGCTGCTGGGGAGGCTCCGAGCCTCTGCAGCCAGGGGCTGAGCACTCTACCATGCCACCACCAGGGCTCCTCTCTGCAGAGAGCAGGCACACACTGAAAGCCAGAGGGCCCAGATCAGCCACTAGCAGGCAGACCAGCAGAGGGCTCACCTGCCAGGAGACGGCTCTCTGCCAGCCGTGAACTTATAGTAATTTTTGTACAAAGTTCCTGAGGAAAAAGTGGATTTGAATGGAAAGCAACTGTTGAGGAGGAAGAGTTGTTGCTTAGGGGCTTGGAGTTTTTGTCAATGGTGACGGGATCATTTGGAAAAGGATACCAGTACTGGCTGTACAACATGCAGAGTGCCACCAACGGCACGGAACTACACAGATAGAAGTTGAATTGGAGAAGGTATTGTGAATATCTTTGCCACGATTACATGAACACCAAGGAGTACCAGGAAGAAGAAAGTGTTCTAGAATGATTGTGGGGATGGCTGTACAACTCTTCTCTGACCTACTGAATTGTATGATAGGTGGATCAAGTGCCAATAAAACTGTTAAAAAAAAAGAAAAGAAAAAGTAACTGTTGTTCATTAACCCTTCGTGTCTCCTAAAACTAAGACCATCCAGAGGTGATTTTTACCTAACCTGAGTTAAGAGACTAACAGCAACCTGGAGCTGTCGAGTCAATTCCCACGCAGGGTGGCCCTAAAGGAAAGAAGGGAGCTCGGCCTCTGAGCAACCAGCCTGGGCGTTAGAACCAAGCATGTTAACTGCTGCACCACCAGGGCCGACGTACCGAGCCCTCAACACGGGGCTCGGGAGTTTGCGTCTCAGTTGTCAGGGAGCTAGAGCAGAAAGGGTTCAGCCAAGAACACAGGAACACTGGAGCTGGGGAGGTCATGGGAACAATGTCTTCTTTTATTCCTTCTCTATGTTTTGGTTGTGTGTGGGGTGTTTTTTTTAAATCATTTTTTCCCTCCCTTTCTGATTCTAACAGTGATAGGTACCTATAGTAATTAGTCTAAAAATTTTAGGAAAGAAAACAAATTAATCGTAGACCCAAAACAATACTCAAAAATATAAATAGATAATTTAAAAAGTAAATCGATAATTTAAAAAGCAAATCTGGGGTGATTAGTGTACACATTCTGTTACAACCTGAGTTTTCCACTTACTGTAACAAGCATCTCCATGTTTTTTAATCATTTTATGAAAATACACAAGGGTGCTCCCAAACATTCATCGAAAATGGAATCGAAAGATAACAGAAAATTTCCCTGAACCTTTGGAAGCCTCATATTTATGGTTGCATATGTTTTTTTTTTAATTATTTTATTGGGGGCTCATACAATTCTCATCACAATCCATACACACATCCACTGTGTCAAGCACATATGTACATTCGCTGCCCTCATCATTCTCAAAACATTTGCCCTCCACCTCAGCCCTTAATATCAGTTGCTCATTTTCCCCCTCCCTCCCCCTCCCCCTCCCTCGTGAACCCTTCATAATTCACAACTTAGTACAGTTTTGTCATAAATTACCCTGTCCGACGTCTCCCCCCGCCCTCTTCTCTGCTGTCCCTCCCCCAGGGAGTTGTTATGTGCTTTTAAGGATTTTCTCTCATAGGCCCTTTCTCTACTGTGTAAGAGCTATTCACTTTTTAAAACTATTTAAAAACCCTTGATGACACCTCTGATCATTTTCTTAGGATAAGTAAAAAAGACAGATGTACTGGAAATGGGAAATAACCAATTGAAACAGTGTCCAACTGTCCTGAAACATGGGAGCACATGCTTCAAACAATGACCTATATACATGCAGCACCTTGGGCAAGAAGTACAGGTCTGAACATTTCCCTTTGGGTTTATTAATCATGAGGTCACTAGAAGCCTTCAAGGAAAGGTGGGTTTACGGATTAAGACATAATATCCAAATCATTCCTTCTAACTACAGAGGATGATGTCCCTGAAAGGAGCTCTGGGACATGTCGACACAATCAATATTGTTATTGGCACTCCACACAGATAAGGACATAAGGACAAATAAGCAGTTGGGGAGGGCTGGCTGGTTCAGACTATCTCTAGTGAGGGCAATTGTGCGACCCTTTCCCCACCACCCCTTTTCTTTCATTGTTCCTCTTCTCAACACTTCCACTAGTTCCTCGTTGCTGCTATTCTTCACCTATTGTGGCTACAATAGAAATAGTGGGTGGTTCTAGTGAACAGAAATTTACTCTCTCACTGTTGAGGAAGTTTTGTAAAAGCCCGACCTTCAGGGAAAGGTCCGCGTCTCTTTTCATTGGCTCCTTGGTAATCTCCATGTGGCAAGGCATCTGTCTCCCCCCACCTATGCTTTTCTGCCCCAATTGACTCTTCTCACACCTCACATGCCCTCACTGACAAAGTCTCTAACATAACAAGGAAAGCCAAAATACAAAACAGGACTAAGAATTTGTGAACTAATTTAATCTATAACACTGCCCAAGAGTAGAATCCCCCTTCCAAGGCCTTCAACTCCAAATGCAACCTTTCCTCCAATACCTTCAACCTCCTCACACAGACCTCCTGACATGGCACTTGTGAGCCTCTGTATGCAGAAGACATGATCATAGGCCCATGCCCGCTTGGATGCCTTTCTTATTCTTGTAGCCTAGTTCCTCCAAATGGCCACCTTTCTCCCACTTCTACTGTGACATTCTATCTGACCCCTCGGTCCCTTGGAAATCTCTCCCTTCAGTAGTGCACTTTCCAAAGGACGGTCCTTATAGCTTTGGTCATTTGGCATGTGATATTCATCCCTATGCTGTCAGGGGCCATCATCCTCTAGAATCATGGGTTTAATTTGCTTCATTCTCTAGGATCACTAATTAAATGTGCTTCACTTTCTGAGGATAAAGTATCTCTTACTCAGCGTAAACACCATTGGAAAAATAATGTGTTTATTATATGTGGTAGTTATATAATCCTTTGTCAATTTGAGGATTAAGAGTGAAGGGGTGGAGTCTAGTCTGTCAATCAGATCATAGCCAATGAAGCCTGTGTGGGCATGGCTTTCTCCTGAGAATTCTGGGAAATCTGGATTTCCTCCTTAGAGGCAGGAGAGACTCTCTCTATGATGACTCCCTCCAAGACATCACTGAGAAGCCACATGGACCTACCCTGATGCAGCCCTGGGAACTGGAGAAGCCACACGGAGACCCCTGTCAGCACTGAGATGCTTACAACGCCACTGGATCCAAAGACTTTCTATCCACTGGCCTGTGATCGTCCTGCATTCGGTGTCATTGCATGTGTTTCATGAGTCTGAAGAGGACTTAATAGATTGGTATTGGACATATGGGCTAATATCGGACTTAAGGCCTTGGACTGGACTGTGTTGGGATGCTTTCTTAATGTGCTATTACCCTTCATATGAAACTCTCTCACACACATGAGTTTCTATGGATTTGTTTCTCTCGTCTACCCGGACTAACACAATATATTTATTTCCTATTTAGGAATTAAAGCTATTCCAACGCTTCATGCCTAAAAATTTCAAACATACTAAAAACACACGTAAGTGTGAATGTGTATTTATGTGTATCTCTCTATCTATATTTGAACAGAAAAGCATGAAGCAGCTGTTGTGTCTTCAGCACCTACCCCAGTATCTGTCCCACAGTAACTGCACAGGTATTTTATGAAGGAATGAACGCATTCGTCTGAACATGGTGGAAGGAGAACAAGCCAGTGGGGCCCGTTAACATTCTAGTGAATTCTAATTAAGTCTAACTAATTCCAGTTAATTAAGCTAACTAGTGACACACGCTACAGTTTCTAAGCACAGGATTTGGGGATTACCTTGATCTTACATGAGTTTGAGTTTCGGATGAATAAGTTTCTAAAGTATTCCTAGGCAAATTCATCGTTAGGATGAATTATTTTAATAAAGGCCACCAAACTGCTCTCTGAAAACATTAAATTCACTTGGCCATTAAGGCAATTAGCTTTGCTCTTTAAGATTACAACATTAAAGTCTGCTACCATCACTAAAAAAGCATATGCATTCATTTCCTACACTATTTGCTTCAAAGGAGAATGTTTTACAAACGTTGTAGAAATCCTGACAGCCCAGCTGAAAACGGGCGATGTAGGTCTGCTGGTAAATTCAGAATGTCCTACCTTTGGAGCCAACATTTCCACCTGCACTGGTTTCACCGAAGCAGTAGGTTTTAGTTGTTTCTTGACATTTGTTTTGGTTTGAGCAGGGAGTCGCGTGTTCGGAGCTTTCTGCAAGGAAAAAGAAAGGTGAAGGGGCGAGCTGGCAAGCTCCCCTGCAGTGCTGTATGGGACCGGCCCTGCATGCACACGGAGTCAGTTACCTTGGCTATTTGTGCTGGTCTGGTTGTCACTCTATTTCCAATTTCTTCTAAAACTGCCCGTCTGACAGTCACATGACTCTTAGTTTTAGAACTAATTTCCTTGTCAACATTTTCCAAATCATTGGACACCTAAAAAAAGACAAAATTAATGAAGAGTTTGGGCAAATAAAAATATTAAGATCTAGACCTATTTGAAATAGATACTTCTTGGGCCCCACAATGCTGTTTATGATCGATAATATCACTGTAGACTGAGTAAATCACTCATTTTTCTTTATATAGATCCTCCCACTAACCTTGCTGTAAGGAACTTGGACACCAGAGAAAAATGATTATTTTTCAGATAATTTCAAGTCACTTACCAGAGCACCCTATAATTTTAATGCACCTATCTTTTGTTCTGTTTTGATTAACTTTCTATTGTTTTGGGTCAAGATTTACAAAGCAGATCAACTTTACATTCAATTCGTACATTTTATTTCATCTCATTCATTGCAGTCTCCTCAATGTAAAATAACTTCTCATTTCCTCTATACATTACTTTAAAAAATTTGTTTAATCATTGTATTGGGGGCTCGTACAACTCTTATCACAATCCATATGTCAATTGAATCAGGCATGTTTGTACAGATGTTGCCCCCATTCTTTTCTAGACATTTACTTTCCATTGAGCCTTTGGTATCAGCTCTTTCCCCGTCCCCCCTCCCCCAACAAAGTGTTCTTGCATTGAGAGAGTGCTTGAGTCGAGGCCATGTCCGTCTGCTACCTTAATACTAAACCTATTATATTTATATATATACATGCCTGTATTTAGACCTCTATAAATGCCCATTTGCCTCCTAGTTCTTTCCTCTATTTCCTTTTCTTTCCTCTTGTCCCACTATCAAGCTCAGCCTTCATTTGGGTTTCAGGAATTCCTCTCGGTT